TAATAAATACATGAATGAAGTTGTAAAAATGAAAGAAATGATAGCATTTTAATTAAGGGAATGAAAGAATAAAAATAAAATGATGGTAAGAATAAAAATAAAATGATGGAAAGAATAAAAATAAAATGATGGAAAGAATAAAAATAAAATGAAGGAAAGAATAACAATAAAATGAAGGAAAGAATAAAAATAAAATGATGGAAAGAATAAAAATAAAATGAAGGAAAGAATAAAAATAAATTGATGGAAAGAATAAAAATAAAATGAAGGAAAGAATAAAAATAAAAGTAAGTTAAAAAATCAATTTAGAAAATTAAAAAAAGGGAGATAAAGGAAGAATTGTAAAAATATGAAATGAATTATGAGTAAACAGGAGTAATTTATGAAGAATAAGAAAATATTGATAAAATAACGTGATGGAGAGTTTAGGAATATATAAGATGGATAACAAAACATCATAAATAAGACATCTGGGAAATTAATTATGGGAATAGGAGGAGGAATATATTGGAGGTAGGGGGGACAGGAGGGGAAATACATTGTAGGTAGGGGATACAGGGGAAAGGAGGGGGAGTATATTAGAGGTACAGGGGGCGGAGGGGGTATATTTTGGAGGTACGGAGGGACTGTAGAGGCATATATTGGAGGTACAGAGGGACTGTAGGAGGTATATATTGGAGGTACAGAGGGACTGAAGGAGGCATATATTGGAGGTACAGTGAGACAGGAGGGGAAGTATATTAGAGGTACAGGGGGGCAGAAGAGGGAATATATTGGAGGTTGAGGGGGACAGGAGGAGTAATATATTGGAGGTCGGAGGGACTGTAGGAGGCATATATTGGAGGTACAGGGGGAACAGGAGTGGGGAATATAATGGAGGTACAGAGACTATAGGAGGCATGTATTGAAGGTACAGAGAGACTATAGGAGGCATATATTGGAGGTGCAGAGGGACTGTAGGAGGCATATATTGGAGGTAAAGAGGGACTGTAGGAGGCATATATTTGAGGTACAGGGGGACAGGAGGGGGGTATATTATGAGGACTGTAAGTATAAGATATTGTACACAAAGCATCACATTTGGGGGATCTAAGAGGCAAGGAAGGTGTGTAACATGATACGACTGTTCTCCGATCCAAGTTATAAACATAAACATCCTTCTCTTAACTCTATTATACTCATACAGAATTTGTTTTACACTGTACAGTCGGAATCAGAAAACAAACCTGTAATGACACCAGAAATGGAATCTACAGATTGCATTCCCATCTAAAAGAATCTAGTGTACTCAATTGATTGAAAATATAGATATTTTGAATATCAATCAAACCTTTACAAGGAATTAAACTTCAGACTAACAAGAAAGGTTTGTTGGGG